GAGCGCCCGTGTCCTAAAGAAAAAACCTCAAAAAAAAAAAAAAAAAAAAAAAGCATAAAACAGAAGATTTAAGTAAAATCCAGAGTCTTACAACATAATATCCAAAATGTCTATATTTCAATTAAAAATCACTCATCACAATCAGCGGGTGGCATGGTGGTTAGAGCACTGGATCCCACATGGCTAACTCTTGGCAGACCCAGCAGCTTGAGAAACAGCAAGCGCGTGTATGTGCATGCCCAAAATCCTGAGAGGAGAATGAAGAAGGGGTTGGGATGTGGCCATCCACAATGCGGGATGATTTCTCACTTTCCCGCTCTCTGTCTCCAGTGAGTGTGTGTGCCTTTGGGAAAAATCATACAAAAAAAAAAATGCTCATCATACTAACCAAAAATATTTCAGCTTGAATGAGACAGACTAAAGTACCCAGACTGGGGCCTGGGGCCGGATGGCCAGATGATAGTGCAGTGTTAATGCAACTGGACCCACATGGGAAAGGGTCTGTTTATTCCCGGGACGCCCCTGAGGATACCAGGCACACTTGTGCCGGTGATCTGGGCTGGTTGAGATTTGGGTGGATTGGAACATGAAGACCCTCTGAAGGGGCTTCTCTTTTTCTTTTTCTCTTTCTCTTTCAATTCTCTTTCTCTCTTTCTCTGTCTCTCTCCCTCTCTTTCTCTCTCTCTCTCTCTCTCTCTCTCTCTCTCTCTCTCTCTCTCTCTTTCTCTCTCTCTCTCCCTCTCTCTTTCTCTTTCTTTCTCTCGCTCTCAGAAGAAATAAATATATAAACTTAAAATGTGAGAATTACCTGATGTAAAGTGAAAGTGACAGAGGAAAGATCAGTGAACTTGAGAACAGTATAAGAGAAACTACCCAATATGAAAAAGAGAAAAAGAGACAGGGAAAAAATGATCAGAGCCTTAGGGACATGGAGGATTGTAACAATAATTAATATTAACATCACTACAGTCCCTGGAGGAAACGAACTAAAATATTTGAAGAAATGATGGAGCTGGTTATATAGCACACTAAACAAAGTGGTTAAATGCTGTGTAGACTGACGAGGGTTTGAGTTCATATCTGGTGGATGGAAAAACATATCAAGCACATGTGCACATGCCAACATTCTGATGAGATGGAGAGATGGAGATAAAAGAATCGCAGTGTAACCAGATACCATTGGGGATTGCACTCTCTCTCTCTCTCTCTCTCTCTCTCTCTGTTTCTCTGCTTCTCTCCCTCTCTCTCTCTCTCTCTCTCTCTCTGTCTTTCTGGGAAATACTTTTGCATATACTTTCTGGCACAAAGGGGGGAAAGAAAGGCAGGAAAGGCTGAAAAACCCCACCCCCCAATTTGGCAAAAGACATATACTTACAGAACTATGACCTCCCAGCAGAATAAATACAAGGAAATCTATGCAAAAAAAAAATCATAGTCAATCTTTTAAAAAGCAAAAATGGGGGCCAGCATGTGGCTTTGTGGTTAAGGTGCTGGACTCCCACATGGCAAACCACAGTTTGAGCCCCAGACCCCACAGCTTGAAACTCACACTGGGCACATGTGCATGCATGCTCAAAATCACAAGAAGAGAATGCAGAAGATTGTGGCATGGCCATCTCCACAGGGGGTGATTTCTCACTTTTTTTCTTTCTGTCTCTCTACCTCTCCAGCAAGTATATGCATCTTATAGCAAAAATCTCTCAAAAAAAGAAAAAGAAAAAGGCAAGAAAAAAGAGAGACTAAGGAAAAATTCTTGTAAGCAGTGAGAGAGGAAGGCAACTTTACCTCTAAAGGAAAAACAATGTGAATAACAGTGAATTTCTCGTAAGAACCATGGAGCCATAAGAAGTAGCACAGTATTTTCAAGTGTTGAAATAACGAAAGTGTCAATAAGAATTTTATATTTAGTGAAAATGTCCTTCTGGAATAAAAGGAAATCAGACATTCTCAGATGAAGGAAACCTAATTTTTAACAATAACCTAACTATATGCTTTCTATAAGAAACTCACTTCAAACACATGATATAGGGAGGTGAAATTTAAGGGTGAAAATACATACCATGAAAACACTAATCAAATTTAACCAGAATGGTTAATTAATATCAGATAAAGTAAATTCCAGGGCTAAGTATTAGGTCATTAGAAAAGTCATGATGCATTTTTCTGGTTTTCTATGGAAAAACGTGTCATGAATTTTCATAAATTCCATTAATATCAGATAAAGTAAATTGCATTTTTCTGGTTTTCTATGGAAAAACGTGTCATGAATTTTCAAACAACTCAATAAATGAAAAAGACAAAGATAGTTATTGCATAATAATAAAAGATCAGTCTACCAAGAGGTACAGCAATGATAGTGTATGCACTAAAAAGTAGAGCCACAAACAATGTGAAGCAAAAACTGTTAGAACGAAAGGAGAAATAGAGAAATCCAAAATTATGTCTGAAGATACCTACATTCCTCTCTTAACAAATAAAAGAGCAACTAGACAGAACATCAGCAAGAATAAAGAAGAGTAACATGTCAACTGACCTCGATAGAATACTTCACCCAGTAACAGAATATACATATGCTCTAGGGACAGATGCCAAGATGGACCATATCCTGAGCTACAAAATGAACCACAACAAGTTTAGAAGAATTTAAGTCATGCAGAATATAAGTCAGTCATAATGAAATCAAACTGGAGAGAGGAAAAAGAGAGTAAGAGGAAAGTCTTCAAACATGTGGAAACTATACACTTCTACGATAAGTGAGTGATGAGTTCATGAAAAAGTCCCTGAGGAGTGGGGGGGGAGGGTTGAAATTGTGTTTTAACGAATAAAAACTAAAATACAGAATAGCAAAATGTGTACTGAAAGAATAAAAACTGGAGGAAATTTATAACACTAAATGCTTAAATTAGAAAAGAGAATGCATGATGAAAGGACAAGCTATAGACGATGAGAAAATATTTGCAAACCATGTTGTCTGTTAAGGACTCATCTCCAAACTACGTAAAGAATCCTCAAAATTCAACATTAAATACAAGTTGTATAATAGGTGGTACATTAAACTATTTTGGCCTAAAATGGCCACCATACTCCACACTCGGATTCCTGTGGATAAGCTGAAATTGCACATGCGAGGCTGTTGTCCTGAGCTGGTGACTAGGTTACAGCCAATCACAGGAACTAGGCTTCAGTCAGTCACAGGGTGCACATGCTGCAGACCAGTATCGGCTTCCTAGTTTTGATACTTTTCTCTACTTAAGAGGTATCCCATGAGGAAAACTAGATGAAGAACCCACAGGTCCCCTCTGTGCTATCTTTGCAATATCCTGTGAACCTGTAATTATTGAGTCGTTGGAAAAGTCAACTGACAATGTATTTTTCCATGTAAAAATACATCATGACTTTTCTGACAACATAATATTTCAAAACAAAAGCTTTTTTTAAAAAAAAAAAAAAACCTGATTTTGGGAACCAACAGTTGGCAAAATGGCTATGTTGCTGGACTCCCATGTAGTTGACCACAGTTCGAGTCCCTGACCTGGTGGCTTAAACTCAAGCCGGGTGCATGTGTGTGCGTGCCCGAGATCCCAAGAGGAGAATGGAGGAGAAGGGATTGCGGCGTGGCCATCCCCCCTGGAGGGTGATTTCTCACGTTCTGTCTCTCTGTCTCTCTCTGTCTGGCAAGTGCATGTGCCCTACAGCAAAAACCTCTCTTAAAAAAAAAAATCCTGATTTGGGGGCTGGCTCCATGGCCTCATGGTCTCAATGGTTAAGGAAGCCAGACCTCACATGGCCAACCATGCAGTTCAAGTCCTGGACTGGCTGCTTGAGAAACATGCTAGGTGCATGTATGTGTAAGCCCCAAATCCCAAAGGGTGGGAGAGATGGGGAAAAGATTGTAATGTGACCATTCCTGGGGGGGGGGTTCTCCTCTCCCTCTCTCTGTCTTGCTCTGGTGAGGGCATGCATTTACTAGCCAAAAGAGAAAAAAAAAGTAATAATGATCGTAATCCTCATTTGGCTATAATGTATAAACCTCACTCTCTGTATGGACACTCTATGTTTCAGAATCAAGAAGCCCTTTAAAGTATATGTGCTTTTGTATTGTCTTGTTACTTTTTAAAAAAGTATTTAATTAAATGTATTATTATTATTACTTTTAAATTTGACCAGAAAGAGACAGAGAGAAAAGGAAAGTGAAAGATCAAGTCACAGGTCTGGGACTCGAACAGTGGTCAGCCATGTGGGAGTCCAGGGCCTCAACCACCACACCACCTACTGGCCCCTTGTACTATTTCAGAGAGGCTTGTCTCATCAGGTGATATTTTGGGTGCTTATCTTCTAGGTTCTTTTCTCTTTGACTTGCGAATGATCAATCAAGTAATTCTTGGGCTAAAGAGTTTGGGAAGCAACACATCTGTGTTTCTTCATTATTTGAAAATGCAGAATAAAGCAACAATGGATAATTTTAGTCATTCTATAAATAAAACACTTCCTCTTCCTTTTAATGGAGACAGATGGATTGAGTCCCTGCTGAGTGGCCATTAGGAGAAGCACTGTCTGGTAGGTATCTACCCGGCTGCACTGCAGATGATAAATGATTCTGGACGCTAATAGCATTTTCTCAAAATACTACATTTTTTTTTCAGTACATTTAAAAATTCCTGAAAAGCCATCTATTACTTCCAGGTTTATTTCTAATTAAACTGAAATTCATTTAGGTTTTGTTTTAGAATTAATATACCTAAAGCAAGTTATTTTTCCCACTCTTCAAGCGTTTCTTATAATGCAGATCTAAACGTGATTTGTCAAGTCACTCCAGTTTCACATTCTGCAGTATCTTCTGGTGTTTTCAGGTGTCCAGGCATCCAAATGATCGAGTTGAAAATAGTCTTACCCATCATCAGGTCCAGAGGTCTAGAATTGGCAGCCAATGGATGTGTCCTCTCTTGCAATATGACTTTTTTTTTTCCATTGTTTGGGGTGCCTGCACTCACCTGAGAGAGACAGAGCAATAGAGAGACAGAGGGAGGAAGAAAGCACTCCTCCAATGAGCCATAGTTACGTTGTAATCCCTTCTCTATTTCTCTATCCTGTTGGAATCGGGGGTATACACACACACACACACACACACACACACACACACAATGTCCAGTGGTGTTTTCAAGCCACTGGCTGGGATTCGAACCTCACAGTTGACCATTGAGAGCTGATTTTCTTAACTATTAGGTTACAGGGCCAGCCATTGGAAAATGGCTTTTTAGAATCGAATTTCAAAGTCTTTAGATTGGACCGGAGGTCTCTTAGGGTTGCGTACCCCATTAGCCTCTCTGGGTCGCCTCTCTGGGTCACCTCTGCATTTTTCCCCTGATGCTTTCCTTGTTTGGAATTGGAGTATGAAATATCTCTTTTTTCCTCACTACTTTCTCAGATGGAAAATGAAGATGATTTTATCAAGATCACATAGCCAATTCACTGCAAAACTGGGTCTATGTCCAAAATTGGGTCTTATCTTGTTCGCTGCTTAGTCCACTGCTCAGCACACAGCAGCAGACATTAAATAGGAAAAAAAGAAAGAAAGAAAGAAAAGCTGGGGCCTGGGGAGGGAGCAGAAACCACACATGCACAGAAGAATTTGTTTACGTGTCCAAAAATGCTCTAAGGAGCAGCCCAGTGGGAGACCAAGGCCGTGTATGGAGTGATCTCTTGTTGCTTGAGGTGGATCAGAGCCTATGGCAGAAACAGCCTGCTTCTCCGTTTCTCCACCAGCTCTCTCCCACCCCCACCCCATGTCCAAATTGATTTTGTGCTTCCTGTTTTTCTATGCTTGACAAAGAAAGCAAAAGTAACATGCTGTCAGTGGACAGTTGCCAAAAAGCCGAGTGGCCTTTAAAAAGAAAAAAATCACCCGCTTCAAATTTCCAACTGCAGTTCCAAGTCCCCTTGTAAGCAGCCACTGTATTATGCTAATAATATGCTAAATCATGAAGGTCTTCCTATTTGTCTATTGATTGTTTAAGTAGAACGTCTATGACAGGGAAGTATTGGTGCTAGAAGTATCGACCCACCTTTGTGCTTCCTAAGCAGACAGCTCTGGGGTGGGCATTACATTAACTGTGATATATTGCCCGTCATCAGCCTTTTCATCAGGGCCTGATGTTACACTGACATGGCTTTGGGGGCTCTTATCTTTTTAGAAAAAAATGAGGAAATAGGAACTTTCATATAAAAATGATATTAATAATTGTGTATTGTTTCCTGAGCAACTTGTAGTATTAAGAATTTGACTTACATAATTTCTTTTTGTTATTTTTTAAAAAACTTTTGCCAGAAGGCACATACGCTTGCCAGAGAGAGGGCACAAGACAGAGAGAGAGAGAGAGAAAGAAAGAGGAGAAAGCAACCTCCTTGGGGAATGGTCACTTCAATCCCTTTTTCTCTGTCTCTCCTTTTTTTTTTAGGACTTTGGGCATGCATGCACATGCACCTGGTGTGTTTCTGAAGCCACTGAGTGTGGGACTTGATGGGACTTGAACCAAGCAATCGACAATGCAGGATCCCACTCGTTTAATTACCAGGCCACGGAGCTGACCTGACCTATATAATTGCTAATCCAGCAATGCTGCACAGGGGGATTATTTCCTTCTTTGTACTTTTAGTGAATGTGGGTCTCAGAAAGGTGAAGTCATTCGTCTAGACTGTGGGTGGTAATAGCTGTTGTCAGGTTTTGAACCTACACCTATTTGACTTGATGCTCATGCCCTCAAAAATGGTGATATTTTGCTTAAGGAATAACTCAAATTTATTTCATTGTATCTGTGAGAATCACAGGTATAGCAGGCAAGCAAGTTCCAGCTTTTCTCTTTTTAAGTTTATTTATTCTGAGAAAGAGACACTTCAGAACAGTAATCCACTCCCAGTCTCAACCCTCCAGATTACAGGCACATGCTTGCAGAACTCATGAGCTCAGAGAGGTCCCAGAACTCAAACCCAAGACCTTTCCCATGTGGGTCCAGTCCCATTACCACTGCACCACCGGCTGGCCTCTCATTCTCGTTTAGCAAAGCCAGTTCTGCCCCCGTGGGTGACAAGGTGAGGAACACTGGGGATGGACTGAGTCCACTGTGATAGTACGCCTCCATGAAAGAGTAACAGATACAAAATTCAGACACACCCCTGGCACCACACACTTACCGATGGTCTGACACACTGAACACCGACAGGTCTATGTCTGCAGGGAAGCTGGACAGAGGCAAGGCCCAACGGGTTAGGGACAACTGGGATTCAGAACATTACTCTGGCACACACAGTGAAGCAAAAGGCGTTCAAAAGTCAGGGTTGTTTTTGAAAGGCTAACTGAATTGCAAAATGTTTTTCAAGTCGAGAGCCATGGAGGTGTCCTAATAGACAGGAAGCTGAGAAGAGGGACAGGGAGGGAAGGATAGGAAATTGCAAGGGCAGCTCCCTGGATTCCAGCAGGCCTTGAGAAGAGTGCTCTTCGTGTCCCATTATGCTATTATATCTCTAGATAATGCCTACTCTGTCCTTGAACGAGAGCAGTCCATGGGTGTGGTGGGCAGGAACCTGAAATAGCACCTGCATTGGCCTGAAATATTGGGACAACGGTCACGGAGTACATCAAGATCCATCCAAAATTCTTCTAGCTTAACTTTTGGAATTTATTTTGGAAAAATTTATATCCCTTGACTATCTCTCTGTGTCTCACTTTCTCTCACCATTCATTTAGAAAGTGAATTCCTGACTATGGACCTCCTCCCAGAATTTGCTTTGTCAGCAGAACACAGGGTCTGCAGCCCTGCGCTAATTCTCCATTCACACTTACATGGATTCGCTTTCTGCCAGACAAAGGGACAGCCATTATATTCCCCCGAGCAATTAATAACAGCGTTCTTTCTGTCAACGGGACTATTAGTTTTCTTGCTGCCATAGCTGTGAGCTTCAAGAAATCTCTTTCACTTCCACAACTTTTTTTTTTTTAAATCTGTAACCTTTTTGTTACCCGCGTCGTCATTCATTAATCCTTCTATGCCTGTCTCATATTCTCTGCGTGCCAGACAGCTCTCTCAAATTGTTCTTTTACTAAGCTTTGGACTCTGTTCAGTCTTCCAAGAGATCTGTTCCCTCTTCTTTCCTTTTTCCTTTCCTTGTAGCAGTATTTACTTAAAGGCTTTAAGAATGTGATTTCAGAACTTTTCCCCCCAAATTGGCTCACATCAACTCTGTTCCCTAGAGAAGCACCAAGTACTGTCAAAAATTAGATAGAAAAATCTAGCATTGTTTTCATTTCAGTTCAAGAAACATTTGTTGCGTGCCTCCTACGTGAGTCACGTGCCCGGTACACGGAACCATGTGACTCAGATCCGCGCTGGTTGCCAAGACCGCTCCTGTCCAGCCTCTGCAAGATTCTGCTCAGAACCTTTCTCCAGGTCCCTTGCTTTTCGTCCATAAGCATCCTGCTCCCATTGTAAGGGAAAAACAGACACACGAGTGCATTCTAAACCATACCCACACCCACATGTAAGTGATGCTCTCAGCTTCACAGGCCAACTTCGAAAAATAAAACACTGCATTTCCTGTTTCTGCTCCTTCAACTCCTATTAAATGTTCTTATCCACTGCAACCCACTCCATCTGTTTTCATACCACCCATACTACTCCTACTTTTTGAAAAATAACCTACCATGAAAAATCTCTCTAATTATCCACCCTGTACTGGCACGCTTTTGGTAACGTCTGTCTTCCTTCTCAGACGGATGTCTGCAAAGGCAAGGATCATGTTTAAGTTGATTTGAATCATGTTAAAATGCTGCTAAAATGGCTATTAATTGCTTTTAGCTCATGCAAACAGCAATTTCAGTTTAACCTCCTTTCTCTGCATCCCTAGCACCAAATACAGTGTGTGGCATAAAGTTTAGTTTCAATATATTACTTGGTAACAGAATTAATATATAAAATATCCACAATTTATAAACTTGTTGACTAGTCATTGAAAAGTTTTAAACTTATATTTATTTATCACAATTTATCATTTTTTAACTATGTTGTTCCCCAAGAGTCAAGAACCAAATATATTTTGCTGGAAGGAAAAATTACTTATATATCATAGAATCTAATATATTATAAATATCTCCTGCAAACGTACATAAAATGGTATTCTAGATCTTTGCAAGAAAATGCATTTAAGTTTTTGTTATTAGATTGTAATCATTAAATTGTAGCAAAAACTTGGAGTTTATGTTACTGTTTTTTAAAATAATTATTTTATTTTATTTATTATTGTTATTATTATTTAATTCACCAGAGAGAGAGAGAGAAAGAGAGAGTGAGAAAGCAAGCTGCCAGGTCCAGGACTCAAACCATGGCCAACCATGTAGGAGTCCAGTGCCTTAACCACTATAACTCCTGCTGGTCCTTAGTTGTTAGGTTTTTGCCATAGGACGTGTGTACTCACCAGAAGAGAGACCAGAGAGAGAGAGAGAGACAGAGAGAGAGAACTCTCCCCCCTCCTGCCCCAGCAGGGAAGGGGATGGCCATGCCACAATTCCTTCTCCTCCATTCTTCTCACAGGATTTTGGGCACACGCATCTGGTATGATTTTTCAAGCCTCTGGGTTTAGGGCTCAGACCATGGTTGGCCACGTGGGAGTCCAGCACTTTAATCACCACACCATCTGCTGCTCCCATGTGACTATTTTTAAGTTTATTTTTTCCACTAGAGAGAGTCAGAGAGAGAGCGAGAGAGACTGGCACCCACAGCAGAGGCTGCACACTGTGGTTGACCCCTGGTTTCGGCTGGCCGGGTCACGTGCTCAGGGAGGTCCCAGGATGTGAACCCAGGCCATTTCCCAGTGGGTCCACCTGTGTCACCACCATGCCACCATGTGGGCCCTTTGAAGTTTCAGCTTTCATATAGTTGTGTTATTTAAAATGAAAAGATGACATCATCTTTT